TGTTCAGGGAAGGCTGCCTTGAAAAGAGAATATTTGAAGCCTGGGGAACAATCCATAGGTATAACTAGGGAGAATGTGATTGGTAGAGGGAACAGTGGGCTAAGGTAGAATGGCTTCGTGTGTTTAGTAAATGGCAACGTAGCCAGGGCAGCTGGAGTGGAGAGGAGGTGGAAAAGTGAACACTTCTCTAAGGGAGGTACAATGAGAACAGTGCAGCCAGGGGCAGAGGAAGGGTGTTGTAATTCCCCAAGCAAGATGGGACTGTGCCATGGACCAAGGTAGTGGGACTGTGCCATGGACAAGGTAGTAAGTGTGACTGTGCTATGGACCAAGGTAGTAAGTGGGACTGTGCTATGGACCAAGGTAGTAGCCAAAAGGTGCTCAGAAGTAGTCGGACAGAATGTAAAGATGTATGTGCAATATGTCTGAAAGGAAAATTCAACCAATACCCCAAGGATTAGTGCCTAAGGATATGGGAGAATAAACTATTAACCAAAACATTTTTTAGGGTAATGATTCTTTCTAAATAGGCTTTGTAATTTTGAAAATTTCTTGGACACTGTGGTTAAATATATTTAAAGAGGCCATCATTTACAGTGGAAAATAATTTTCCAGTACATCTTTCCTTTGAGGTTCAAGAAATTATTATAGAAATATATAGTGTTAGAAATGCCAAACTCTATTTCTTTGTTTGTTTGTTTGTTTGTGTTTAGTAAATGGCAACGTAGCCAGAGCAGCTGGAGTGGAGAGGAGGTGGAAAAGAGAACACTTCTCTAAGGGAGGTTTTTTGAGGGGGCTGACAAAGCTAAAACTTAATTTTTTTTAATTTTATTTAGGTATTTTTCAAGTACAGTTTTCTGTCTATTACTCCCATCCCAGCCCACTGCTCCCCCATGCACCCCACCTCCCTCCCATTTCCACCCCCCTTAGTTGTTGTCCATGTGTCCTTTATACTTGTTACTCTAAATCCCTCCCATTTTTCCCCTTAAATTCCCTCCCCTTTCCCCTCTGGTCATTGTCCCCCTGTTCTCTATTTCAGTGTTTTTCTATTTGTTTTTATTTTGCTTGCTTGTCTGTTTTGTTGTTTAGCTTCCTGTTAAAGGTGAGATCAAATGCTGTATGGTACGTGACTCTGCCAACCCCTATGACAAATGTGGAAGTTGAAGCACAGAGAATAAGTGACACCTCCAAGGTTATATACTGAACCTGTCTTCAAAACTTGACCCCTTTACTCTGCTTCCTCTCAGATTTTCTTTCATATCTTATCATTAAAATAGAATTTGAGTTTCCTAAGGGTAATGGTGGTGGCAAGGAGCCTACAAAGGCTCGTGACAGAACCTCAGGGAGGGATGGGTATGTTTTTTATCTGGATTTTGGTGTTAACTTACACAAACCAATGTGCTGATGAAAACACAATTTTGCATTAAAGAGTTTACTAGACATAAATTATACATCAATAAATGATTTTAAAATAACCTAGCAAATATCATACATTGCCACATGCTGGAAATGTATATATTTTGTCCAAACGTAAAGTGAATGTCTCCTGGTACAAAATTTGTCCTAAGACTTATTTTTTTTTCTGAAAAAAGCAAATGTTCTTCATGTCACCCTCCAACAGTATTTACTGACAAAGTAATAAATTTTTATTTGTTGCCATATAATTGTCCTTGCATGATTTCATCCATATTTATCATAACAGGAAGAACTAGGGTTTTGCCTTTATGATCTTATTCCTTCCCTGCAAGAAATCTCAAATAATTCTGCTAAACATTTGTCATAAAGTTCAGTGGAATTTTGTTGATGACTCAAATGAACATGACTTTAAATGTTGCTGAAAATGCTAGTCGGGTTTGCATTTGCACTTCAGATGTTAAGTTATTAAGAATGGTGCTATTCTTGCTGGAGTATTCTATCATTAACTAACAACTCAAGACAAAATGGGTTCTCAGGATAAGTTTAATTGCTTATGATACAAGAGACAAAGCCCTATTTCATAGTATTCTTGATAATTTTAACATTTTACTTCTTTGATAATAAACCTGAGATTATCCATGTTTATATCAGATAATGAATATGAAAAAAAACCCTATAAGATGAATGAAAAAAAAGGTCAATTTTGTAATTTTCTTAAATTATTGACTTGAGTATTATTCATCAAATAATCTTCATTTGGTAATTTTTATTTAATACTTCATAAAAGCGATTGTCTAAAGGAGGACTAGTGTTATTAAAAGTTGACAATAATTCCATTAATGCACTTATCCAAACACATGCAATATCAACACACTAAAATATTCTCAAAAATAGACATGGTCATAAAAATCCAATGAGATATCACTCAGCATGCATTTGGAGGCTATAATCAAAATGACAGACAGTAATAACTCTGGGAAGGACATGGCGAAACTAGAACACTCACGTATTTCTGTTGGGAATGCAAAACGATGCAGCCACTTTGTAAAAATAATTTTGACTTTCCTCAAATGGTAAAACACAATCACATATGACTCAGCCAAGTATGTGTCAAAAAGAAATGAATACCTGTAACTAGATAAAACTTGTGTACACATATTTATAGCAGCATTATTCCTAAAAGCTGAAATGTGTAAATAACCAAAAACAGAATGTGATATATCAATACAAAGAAATTAAGTATTGAATTATATAACAAGGGTGAAACTTGAAAACATCATGTAGAGAGAAAGAACAGATACAAAGGGCTACATATTGTGTGAGTCCATTTAACTGCTAAATCCACGGTGAAGGGGGGGGGGGGCGGAGAATATTTTAGTTGCCAGAGGAGGAAAGAGAGAAGGGAAATAACTGCTCAGGGGCACAAGGTTTCTTTTAAAGATGACAAAAATGTTTTGGATTAGACAGTGGTGATAGTTGTACAACTCTATGAAAGTATAAAAACAACCCTCTTAAATTGTACACCTTAAAAAGGTAAATTTATGGTATATTAATTTTATCTCAATTAAAATACAAACGGTGCCAATCATTCAATACTATAAAAATCCCTATGAGCCCTGGCTGGTGTAGCTCAGTGGATTGAGCGCGGGCCTGCGAACCAGAGGATCGCGGTTCGATTCCCAGTCAGGGCACATGCCTGGGTTGCAGGCCGGTTCCCAGTAGGGGACCCACAACAGGCAACCATACATTGATGTTTCTCTCCTTCTCTCTTTCCCTTCCCCCTCTAAAGATAAATAAATAAAATATTTTTTAAAAAAATCCCTGATTCCTCCAGGAACTTCATATCTGGGAGCTTATACCAGTCATTATATTAAATGTTATGAGGCCTTAATTTTTTCTTATTTTCCTAATGAAAATAAATGTCAGAAGAAGCACTCTGGAGATTAGGCTGGAAAATTAAGCTTGAGTATGGCAAATCTGATATTTCATGGACTATTCCAAACCTACTTTTCCAGACTCATTTCTTAACATTGTCCAATCACATGTGGCTAATCCTTTAGACACACTGGAAATACCAATCCTTCATTGGCCATCCCTTGCTCCTTTATGAGCCTCTTCACAAGCCATCCTATTGGTCAGGAATGCATGACTTCACCTTCCCAGCCTACAACCCCCCATGTGAATCTCACAGCTTCCATGAAAGTTTCAACAGCCTCTCCCTAAGGTTACCTTATACAACCTTTTTGTTCCTCTACAATTTGTCATTGACTGTTTTAAAATGTACATAACAATTTCCATAGAGGATCAATTTCCCACCCACATTTATTTTCTTCAGAGCAAGCAGATCAGATCTAAGTCTCACTTGCCTTCATTTCTCTAAATGATTAAATCAGCCTGTTTTTCTTTATTTGATTTACTTATTTAATTAAGTACCAAAAACCTATTTTCCGTGCAATCAGTAACAGAATGTCTAAAAATGTATGTTAATGTATAAATAAGCTAATAAATACAAATAAAGTAGATTCAACCATATCTACTCTGGAAGATAGAATAATACTGTTTGCATTGTGAATGAATGTATAAAGGAAAGCGGTGACAAAGAAATTAAGGTAAAAATATCAAAAGAAGGAATAACAATTGGAAAACTTAGTGCCTACAAAGGTGAGTGCAATATTTTTATAGTCTATATCACTCAATACCTTCGAGTAAAAGGAAAAATAGAAAACTTTTGCAAATGGATTGATAGTAATTTATAATTCATATCAATGATATCAGTAACTTAAAAGGAATTTGAATTATTTTACTATAAAAAGTAATAAAGTCAATATTTCTAACTTTAGCTGTATATTTACAATTCACATTATACACTTTATAATGTCACTCTACAGAAATTAATTTTAGCAACTTCAAAAAGAAAAGAAATTCCACCTTTACTGTTGACTTTTATCTTCAAATGATTTGCTAAAGAAGATACGCTTATGTGTGCTGGCCTAAGCTTATGTTCTTTGGAGATTTTTATGTCATACTCTATAAATATATTTGTGATAAAAACATTACTCTAAAAATAATTAACTGTATATTAAACAGCGTGTTGCTATAAAATGAATACACTTTATTTTCTAACATTCACATTCACTGTTGGATATATAATTAAGAAAAAGAAGACAGATTAAACAAAAATCACTTTAATTGATTGTGTTGGTATACATGCACAGATTAAAAAACACTTTGAATAGTTATTCAATATTAAACATTTAAGAAGGTAATATGGTTATTAGTCTTTCCAAAGAGGTGGAGAGCCAGTAATTTTTTTTATTTTTAGTGGCTCATTTATGTTTACTATAACTGGAGTATAGTTCCTCATGACAGCAAATATTTTGAATTATATTATTTACAAATTTGTTCACAAGAAGTGTCAATTGACTTTCCAAAAAACATATAAAATTCAACTTTAGTAACACATTAAACAATATAATTAATTTTCAATGTGATACTCATAAAGAATATACTAATTTGAATATAAACATTTTAAATATACTTGGAAATTACTAACAAATGCATTAGCAACAATAATCTACTATTACCTTAATGTGGTTTTCAGTAGCTAAATATCCATGTTTTCTTCCTCCAATTTACAGAACATTTGAACATTTCTGTAGAAAAAAAAGACATGTAATTAATGGTGAGAAAAGATTTCATGGTTATAGTTGTAGAACTATTTGAGCTGGTTTTATTATTTCTTATTGTTTGCCAGTGTATTTTTTTCCCCACAGTGCTTAAGGAAAACAGAAAAACCGTGGCATGAAAACAAAACACAATTTACATATGCCACATTTTCTCCCATGATCTAATTTATTATAATGTTCACTGAGAAAAGGTAATTAATTTGGTAAGAATTTAAATATCTTCCTAATTAAACAAGCACGTGATTTTCTTAAATATACGTCAAGATTTCCAATGAATTTGTCGCTTTCTTGAAACTGGCACTTCAAGCTAAGATCCTAGGATACATCAAATCACTTTTACCTTACATAGAACTGCTATGGGGAAAACCAAAACAAAACAAAAGAAAAACTGGGAAATTCCTTAGTGCATTTTGCTCCCTAAGTATACATACACACAAACACACACTTAGATACATGCTATGTACTAATGTATACATACACTGAGACTGTAATATAATAATATAACATAATCAATTTTAATAATATTAGGAAGAAATAAAAATACAGTTTATTTAAACGGTAGATTTACAGAGGAGGTTGTCTTCATGTTCTTTAAATTGTCACAATATTTTTTATATATTTTATTCTTAAAATAATGATCAAAATGTCATATATTTTACAGAAAAAAGGATATGTCCTTCAAAGTATTTCCTTTGGAATTTCAGTCTTCTAGTGAGTCTATAATTGGCCACATCAATTTTTGAACTTTCTAGTGAACCTTAAGTGCTTTCACATAAGCATCGGCTGCATTAATTATGATACTTTGTATTATCCCATGCTATTAGTAGTATTATGCTATTATGCTATTTGGCATGTATATGTGCCAAAACCATGACAATTAATTAGCTATTTAAAAGTCTCATCCTCATTTGGATAAGAATATGGTAAGATACTGGTTAGTATAAAATTAAATTTGAGTTCTCCCTTACAGAATTACTACTGATTACCATCACACATACACACTCACCAATTAAAGGAAAATATTCACTAATAAAAGCACTGCATTTTGTTCGAGTATTTAAAAATATTAAAGGAAGCTCACTAAAATTTTTCTAGTGAGTGTCCATCCATGCTCGGCCAATTTGTGAGTTTGTGCACAATCTAAGTCCATATTTGAATGGCACTCTTGCTACTTCAAAAAGCAATGAAAAGCAATTATTTAGTCACCTTCTTGGGTTTTCCTGCACAATGCTTTTTTCAACAAATCAAGCATATTCAATAAATACTGGCCATTAACTGAGGGCATTTTTCTCTGCTTGTGGAAGACCAAGCCTATCTCTTCAGGACTGAACGATCATAGTTAATAACAGTACAGACTCTCTACAAATATCTGCACTTTTAGACCTTTTCTCTCTCTTTGGAAAATACATCCTGAAACCCCCACATTACCATTTCCACAAAGTTTCCCTGGTATACTAGTGACACTGCACCAAAGACAGAACCAGGCAGTCCTTCCCTGATACTCCCACGCCTCTTTGCACATCTTCCCGTTTTGCCAAACCCTACACTGAGACATGAACTGCTTGAGAACAGGGCCTCAGACTACTTTTTCAGTTTGAACCACCCCTCCTTAAAGCACTCAAAATGGCCTGAAAAATGCTGACTGGGTACACAAAATATTTACTTTGTTTTTTGCTTAAAAACATTAGTTATTGAAAACTGTCTGTATTGGCCTGGTGTAAATCAAAATCAAGATAAAAATCAACCATTATATGTGCCTTTGAATTTGTTTATATAGCTATCTTTTGAAGTCCTTTTGTCTTTTCTGTTTCTACAGAACAATCTTCAATTTACAGCTTGAGTATTCAACATCTCAGTGATTCATTCACTCACTCTCTCTCATCCACTTAAGGCATGTTAGAGTTAGTAGACAACTCAATGGAAAGAACTAGCTTACACAAATCAGTTAGCCCCTGAGAGGAAGCAAGCCAGGCCAGAGGTAAAACACAGGAAAAGAAAAGGGTGGAGGGGAGACAAGTAGGAAGAGAATTAGAAAGCCAAATAGGCAAAAGAAGATATCATATCAAATTACACTATCAGTATGAATAAGGTAAATTTCTAATTACTGAACAGTCTAAAAGGGATTGCAAAAAGGAGCTATTAGAATTATTTTTTGAGCAATGTGACTACAAAGAAAAGCACTAATGGAGAATAGAAAAATTTCATGTGTTTTAAATAAAAGTTAATCCATACAAACATATTTTCATTACTGTTCAAAATGACATAAAAAGCAATTCCCTAGCAATTAGCATTGCAATTCCTTCTAGGTCTTTTGAATTATATGAAAATACTTTGGTTATCAATACTGAACTACTTTAATGAAAAATTAAATTTAAATTAATCCAAGCTTTAGATAAAATGTCAAAATTAAACACTTTAAAAAATGAATACTAATAAATGATTTTTCAAGGTAAGTTTTTCCTAATACCAGAGATAGCAAGTTTACAAAATAGAGGAACTTCATTCATTCATTCATTCATTTGTCAACTACAAGATCAGCACCCAGGTACTATTTGAAAGTGCTGTGGATTCAGAAGTGACCTGAACAGACAAAAGTAACACTCAGAGAGTTCACATTTACTTTCTCAATGGGAAATAAGAACAATATGTGAGAGAAAGTAGCTAGGTAGGTAGGTAGGTAGGTATATAGATAATAAAAGAGACAGAGTGATTTTATATTCATTTTAAATATTATTTTACATTTTAAAACAGTTCTGTTTTTAACTCTTTATAGTCTCAGTTATCTTAAATTTGTTTTAAGGATTTAAACACTTTGTTTATATTCTTGTTTAACTTTTGCCCAGAACTCTGAGACTGTTACAAAGAAAATCTTTGTAACAAACAAGTCTTGTGACAGAGAACAGCGAGAACTTAAACACAAGGATCCCGAATTCAGAGTCTATACTCTCAAGCTTCTTAAAGAGCACCGCACTGATAACGCTTTGATAAGAGAGTATTTATAAGGTAAAAAAATGAGCTCCCTGAATAGAATTTTTCAAAAAATTATCATCAGAATTTCTTAACACCAAACCGTGTTAAAATGAAACTTCACATTCTAGTATTTAAAGGAGATCCCCAAACCCAGTAAAAATTAGTCCAGAATTAAAATAAAAGGTACTTATTGTCTTTCTATGACATTAATTACAAAACTATGTGATATTTCCTACTAAACTATTCAGTAAAGTTTCATGAAACAATGAAGTATCATGTACAAATACATTTTTAAAAGATCATTCTGGTGTCAGTTAATAGATGGTTTGCTGCCTAAAATGATAGTGATATTTCTTAAAAGATCAGCAAGGACTGAAATTCTTTTAAATAAATATCTTTACCCACACCATTCAAATCATTTTTCCAAGTATCTTTTTTTCAGTCTCTCTACCTACTTCGTCTATGAGCTCTCTTCAAATATCAACTACTGTCATTCCTTATTGATAACCATCATCATGTGCTACCATATTATTTCTGCAGAATGTTCAGATTTGTTTTTCATTTCCTTTTCAATACCATAATCCTTATAGGTTTCTGAGTTAGGCAGAGAAGAAATATATTCTGTTTTACAGATTAGAAAGCTGCAACTTATAAAGATTACCATGGTTATCAACTGATAGCGCCAATACAAGATTCCAAGGCATTGTCCCCTTTGTGTGGCCCTACATGTCATCCCTGCAGTGGTATATTGCAGTGGTATTCTTATCGCATCATTCTATTTCGTCTCAGGTCTATTCTGGTAACAGTTCACAAGGTAACCTGAGACCTCATTTCTTCATGATGGTTTTGTGCTCAGCAATTCACAAAAGCACCCTATTGCTATCCAGAGTCTAGTCTTCAAGACCCTATCTCTATAGAATGAATATTCTTTCTTGATGAAAACATTTTTTGGACACTACTTCACCAAAAAAGGATTTCCACATCAACCAGTCTGCACTGCTCGCTGGCCTCTCAAACAGATTGTAACAGACACAGTGGTTTGTTAAAGCAATCCTCTGGACCAGGAATGCCCTCTGCACTTGTCTATATTCTTGAGTTAGACATTGAATACCACGATAATACAACACTAAGGTCTCATTTTCTCAGAAAATTAGCCTCACTATTTTGAAGAAACCAACCCTGGTGGATTTTAATTGGGGACTGCAAAGTTTAGTCCTAAATGTACCACATTTTCCATGTGTGATGTTTTATGGACCCACAAAAAGTAACCCATTGTAAAAATTTTAAAGAATGCCTTCAGGCATAACTTTTACATCAATTACAAACTAGACAAAATTGCCCAAACCTACAGTTTCAGGAGTATAGAAACTGACCAGTCAGGCAATAAAATCACTGTTTATTTCAGAAACATTATTCCTCCTGGTAATGAGTGGGGACCCTGTGGAATTTCTTCCTGGGAATTCTCCCATCTTTCCCCTTATCCCCTGCTGGGCTTTTAGGTCATAAAACAAGACACTTTTTTTTTTGCCCTGGCTGGTGTAGCTCAGTGGATTGAGCATGGGCCTGTGAAGCAAAGGGTCTCTGGTTTGATTCCCAGTCAGGGCAAATGTCTGGGTTGCTGGCCAGGTCCCCAGTGGGGGCCACGTAAGAGCCAACCACACACTGATGTTTCTCTACCACTCTTTCTCCTTCCCTTCTCTCTAAAAATAAATAAATAAAATATTTTTAAAAAACAAGACACTTTTTAAGATACAATAGAGGACCTTGATACATTTAAAAGAATTGAAATCATACAAAATGAGTTGACCAAATAAAAAAGTAACTTGGAAATCCCTAAATATATGAAAATGTAAATAAACACTGCTAAATATCCCACACTTCAAGAAGAAGTAACAACAGAAATTAGAAAATATTTTGACACAATCAAAACTAAAGTACCACATACCAAAATTTACATACTGTGTGACTAACACAGTGCTAAGGGCATTTTTTTGTTT